CGGTAGTGCTAAGCGAACAGTTAAATTTTAAAAGCGCGGTTATAAGATCTAACAGATCTTCTTGTTAACCAGTAATTTCAACGACAGATATTACATGTAAATGAACCTCGGATAACTGCGATTCATTCACTGGAGATCAGAGATCGAGAAGCAGGCAAATCTTATCGATAAACAGCAAAACATGGCCACCATTGCTTGCTTGTGTGGGGAGTTTTCTTTGGCATAAGTTTTGTTACGGCCGAGCATTGGAACTGCGGAGAACCCGCTACTTCACGCTATATGACCTAAATGGTCTTAATTTTACAGCGTCGCAGTACTTATAGTTTCAATGGAACAGCTGAAAGCTTGGTGAAATCTCTTGTTTGATCTGCTATAAACTGGGGTAACTTGGTTTCACTGTACGTGAGGCGTGCTTGTATAAACCCTTTGATCGAAGAATACTCCTTTTCCGGTCGCGTGCTATCAGATCAATCCAGCTACAAACTTTGCGCAAACAGAGCACTTGGTTGTTTACTTAGAAGAGCTTGGATCAATCTCTCAAGACGTCAATTTCACTACCATCATTGGAGCTGTTGTTTTGCTTGAATTAAAATAAACGAAATTAAAAAAAAAAACAATTTAAATTAAATTTTGCACTGCGTGCGGGACCAAAACATGGCAGAGGAGTATCCAGGCGAAGTGAACGACAAGGACAAAATTTTGAATGGAGATATCGACAGTAACAGAGTCCCTCTACATGAAGTACGCGAGAAAAAGAAAAAGAGAAAAGTGAGGAGGTCAAGATCTAATGAGCATTTACCGTCTTCAGATGCGGAAACTGGCGCATACTTGAGGCAAGTTTCAAGCTATAGCCATGGCGAGCAACCTCGACATGTTCAGCTGCCTCTTGAGCCTATGGGGAGTCGTGAAAAACTTATTCACATTCACGAAGAGCTGAGTAATACACATCCTCCTCCACGCCCAGAAATATTGCGTGACGAAAAAGATCTGAGAAAACTCGCCTTACATTTAGCGATAAGTAAATCGAGCGAAGGGAAAAATAACAGATTTCTACATCACGATTACGTGTTAGTTCATAGAACAGGCGACAACAGAAATCTGCACGAGAAACTGAGAAAGAAATACGAGTCCG